TTTTCTTTTTTCTGACTGTAAGTTGAGACAACTGGAATGTTACAGACATTTTGGACACACCAGGCCCATACGCCTGTGTCCCCTGTCCTTCCCTTGGTGCAGTGACAGCCGCTCAGGACTCCCAGGAGGGCTCAGCTCGCTGCAGAGCTTGGAGCAGCGGCTCAGGGGAGACACAAACATTTAAACATCTGTTTTGGTAAGTGGACCTGCTCTACTGGATGAGTCATTTTCCATAACTTACTTTCTGTTTTTATAAACAAGAGGGAGGTAGTTGGAAGACAAAAATGTCTCCATGTCCACGCTCGTGTTGCTGTCCTGAACTGTGTGGTGTTGGGGGATGGAGGTGCCCTGTTGTGCAATGCAGGTTGAGGTTCTTCCCCTTTAGGAGAGGACAGTCCCATGTGCTGTGTCCTGGGCACTTCAGGTACCTCTCACTTCCTGCCTGAGTGTGTGGCTGCCCCTCCCCAGCCCTGGAGGCTGGTGAGCATGGCTCCTTCAGGGGAACAGACCCTGCGGTGGGGGAGTGGGAGAACCCTTCCCCACCAGGCCTGGGCAGCTAGCAGGTGCTTTCCCATCTTGCCTGTGCTGAGTGCATTTCTGAGTGTGTATTTCTTTGGAATTTATAAAGTTATTTTCTTATAACACTTGCACTTTTAACCAGGTAATTCTACCCAGGTATGAATATGGCTGGAAAGAAGGCTTCTGGGTATATTAGTGTCACACAGACTCAGAGGAGAGTCCACTCTGAGCCTGGTCTTTGACTCAGAACCCCAGGAGGGCCCCTCTGACAGTCCGGCTGACATTTTAGAGGCTGGCAGTGTCCTATGTGGATGACTAGACAGCTTGTCATCCTGGGCCACAGAAGCAACAACTGTGTTTAAGGTTCGGCCAGTCTTCCTATTCACCATTCTTTCCATTGATATTATATGGAATGCATGCAGTGCCATTTAATTACTTCAGTCCCTGTCTTAAAGGAAAAAGACGTGGGACCTGAATTGTGAGGTACCAGTAATTTGGTGTTTTATTCAGGAATTGTCTTTGTGCAATTAGTAAAGGTCCCTTTTATGTTTTTGCAGAATTAATTTCAAGTACACTTTTTGCAGAGCAGCCAAGGGTCTCAACAGGCTGCACAGAATGAGGGCTACAGTTAAGGCCATCCTCTGGGAGACATTTCCAAATCAGAAAGTCCAGGAGAACCAGCCCTTGTTCGTACTGCGTCAGTAAAATGCTCAGCTTCTGCAAGTCAGCTCTTCTTGCTCACAAAACAAGCAGCACATGCCTACTGTGACTGTGCTGAGTGACCAGGGGTGCGACTGTTCTTGCTCTTGCCACTGTTTCGTTGTGGACGGGGGTAGAGGTGGTCCACTCCGTTCAGTGAAGCAGGTGGCTGGCCCAGAGACATTAGGGGCACATAGGGACTATCATGAAATTGGGAGTACTTGGTGGGCAGGCTGTCCTGTGGCAGCGTGGTCCTGTGCTATGTGGCACGTGTGGCTGCTGAGCACTTGACAACTGGCTGGTCCGAGTTGAGATGTGACAGATGTTGTATTCATACCCACTTGTTAGGATTTCATAGGAAAAAAGGGTATAAAATATTCCATTAATAATTGTTTATGTTAATTTCATATTGAAATGATAGTATTTGGAGTCGATTGGATTAAATATTACTAAAATTAATTACACTTACCACTTTTTAGTTTTTAAAGTGTATTAGGGAATTTACCATCATAAGTGTGGCTTTCCTCACTCTGGACCCCTCGCCACCGTCGCCCAGGGCTTGGTGAGCCAGCACAGCCCTGGCTTCTGGCCTCCCGTGGTGTGGGAATGTCCTCCCCTCTGGTGGTGGGCCTTTGGCCGTTTCTCTTTTAAGATTTTATTTATTTATTTTTAGAGAGAGGGGAAAGGAGGGAGAAAGAGGGAGAGAAACATCGGTGTGTGGTTGCCTCTCACATGGCCCCCACTGGGGACCTGGCCTGTAACCCAGGCATGTGCCCTGACTGGGAATCGAACCGACGACCCTTTGGTTCACAGCCCGTGCTCAGTCCACTGAGCTACACCAGCCAGAGCCTTTGGCCTTTTTTAAGGCATGTTTTCCATCTCTCTCAGGGTCGTAGTGGTATGACCTCTCAGTCATCGTACCTTGACACCTGGTATCTCTGTGATGACCATGTCAGGGCCACCCTGGGAGCTACACCCCAGGAGTGTAGGAAACAGGTGAGTCAGCCAGCAGCCTCAGCCAGGAGTGGACAGCAGAGTGGGTTTGAAGGTTAGCAGAGGCCCCCTACCTCAGCCTTATCTGACTAGGGTGGCTGGGGAGTGAGGATGTAGGACGTGTGTGTGTGTGTGTGTGTGTGTGTGTGTGTGTGTGTGTACCACAGTGTACTTTCCTGTGTAAGTGAAGGTCAGTGTGGAAGGAGCCAGGGGAAGGCACCCTGGGATTGTGACATTGTGTGTCCAGCCATGGCCCTGGTCTGGATTTGGATTTGGGGGGCTCTTCTCTGTGCTCCATGTCCTGACCTACGAGGAAAGAAACACTGGCTGCCTGCCAAGAGCCCATCTCCACCCTCCACTCGGCTGTTTACAGCCTGGGGCCTGGTGCTTCTGAAGGATAGTGCAGTCAGAAATGAACTGGGCCACACTTGGACATGACTAACAGTGACCTAGATGGTGTAGAGAGCGGCAGGGTCTATGCAGCCCCAGCACCCAGTGCAGGAGAGGGGCCTCAGGAGTGTCTGCTCAGGGGCGGGCATGTGGTACAGGCCTGTCTTCCAGGGGACATTTTGTGCATATTCCTGGTAGAGCACCTTGTTGCCACACTAAAGATGGGGTAGAGCACTTGATCTGAGAAGGCAGTGTGGCGGGACACGGCATGGTGGCGAGCGCTGTTTCTTTCATGTGTTGTTTGGGCTCCAACCCTGTGAGATCATACAAACAAGAGATGGAAAAGACCTCCTGCATTAGGTCATCCGTCTTGGCCCTCCAGAGCCGCTGACCCCACAGGGTACTTTCCAGAGCACCATCCAGTTTTTCAAGTGATTCGGCTGATGGAGTTTCCACCAGCTCCCAGACGTGCAGAGAGGTGGTGCCTGAGCCTGGGCTCTGGGGTCACGACTCACTCATGTCTCGTGACAAAGGTCTGGTGACAGTACTGTATTTGGAGAGAGGTGTGGGCTGGGTCCTGCCTCTGCCACCAGCCTGCATTTGGCTGCCTGGGGACAGCCTTCTCTGCCCATCCCCGTCCCTCCACAGGTGGGGTAGCATCCAGTGCCTCATGGAGCACTCACAGTTTCCCCAGCTCATTCACGCCTGTGACCTCACTGCAGCCTCCTCAGTCCTGGGGAGGGAGCTGACCGTGGGATCCCAAATGTCACCCTATGTTGACCCTGTTTCTTGGTAACTGGAGGAAGCAGCCTCCTGGGCACTTGGTGGCGGCCAGGTAGTCAGGCATTTCTCCTGATTCTCAGCACAGAGCTGCCACGTGACCTCATGGGTGCCGTCCCCAACACCATGTGGGCTGTCCACTCTGCTCTTCCAGGGGCAGCATTGTCCCGGACCACCGGGTGGGACTTGTGGCCAATACCACTGTGGGGCCTAACATGTTATCAATATATTGAACTTGGGGTCCTCTGGGGTCGTTGTCCAGGCTGCTAGCTGCAGACATCCATCCCTGTGTGACAAGGCAGGTTGACCCCTGGGACAGGCAAGGCTCCATGGTCCCTCATCCTGATTCATACTCTCTGTTCCTGCTTTTCAACCTAACCAGGGGTCTGAACATTTCCCTGAAAGAGGCATTAACATTTACAGTAAGTAGTTGGTCATTACAGTTTCATTCCTTTTGTTATCTAGAGGATATTAAGTTTTTCAGCGCAGGCTCAATAAAAATGTAGTTGAAGTACATTTCATAATGCAGTTTGTCTCAGTAGACTTGTCATAAAACAGCTGCACTTGCTGGTTTATGGGACACTCTGTGAGGGTGACATGATTCACGAGTTAGGGAGGGGCCACAGCCCAGCCTGATGCACTTCCCCACTCTGCTGCTGGAGCAGCCTCCACTCCTCGGCTGCCCACGGCCTCCCCTGTGGTATCAATGTGGTTTGTAGCATTTCTCTGCCCTCCATGTGTCCTCACCCATGTCCCGTCTCTGCCCCTCGGAGCCCCAGGCCCTGTGCTTCCTGGTCATTTCCTCATGTCTCAGTTTCTCAGGCTGGGGGCAGGAGTGAGGGCTGGGGGGGCCTGTGCTGTGTGATTTGGGTTATTTGTGCCATGTCCTGTTCTGCCTTTCATATTTGTATGTGAAGTAGTTTCAAACATACCACAGAGGGGTTTTGCTTTTCTTTTTAAATACCATTTTTTAAAAAAAGATTTTATTTATTTTTAGAGAGGGAGAAAGGGAGAGAAACATCAATGTGAAAGAGAAACATCAGTTGGTTGCCTCTCGTACACACCCCAACTGGGGACTGAACCCACTGCCCAGGCGTGTGTCCTGACCAGGAATCCAGCCGGCGACCTTTTGCTTTATGGAACAGTGCCCGACCAACTGAGCCACACCAGTGAGGGCTTAAATATTGCATTTTGAGATTCAGGGCACAGTTGGGCCCTTGGGTGCAGGCAGGTAATGAACACAATGATTGGGAAGTAGCTGGAACTTGGGTCCCAGTTGTGGGCCCGCTGCTGTAGTGGGAATTCCTCAGGGATGTGGTGAGGGTGTCCGTGACACAGCCCACCGTGGGTTCTGATAGCAGCGCCCCAGGGACTCACGGTCAGACTGCTGCCCATGGCCTGGATCAAGGCCAGAGGCAAAGCCGTCATCTCATAACAGCTCTCAGTTATCTGCAGAGCCCAGACCCAAACCAAGCTCTGGCTCTGGGCTCCACCATGGGGGTATATCATCCCCCCTGACTCAGAAAATTCTTTAAGTATTGTGAAAATGATGGAAATAAACATTGCCTGTCTTTGAGAGGACATAAAGTCAGCCCCTCCTGTCTTTGTGCTCCTTCCAGATCCTGGGGAGGCTGAAGGGTCTTGCCTTGGAGGCCAAGGCAGAGCTGGAGAGACAGGATGAGGCCTTGGATGGCATCGCCACTGCTGTGGACCAGACGACCCTGACGGTTGACAAGCACACCCGACGAGTGAGAAAACTGACCTAGAAGGGCAAAAGTGCGGAAGTGAGAGCTTTTGATGAGAATCACTTCTCTCGGTATGTCATCCTCAGCCTCTGCATGCTGCCTTCAGATGCAGACCCCAGGAGGACCCAGGGCGGCTGTGCAGACCAGGGGAGGCCATGCAGGTTCCCCTGCAGGGCACTAAGGTACAGCTTCAGGAAGGGAGTTCTGTCTGCGGACACAGCACACAGCGCGTTCCGCCCAGGCCCTTTCAACCTGCTGGGGAGTTGGAAGCACCCACACATTCAAACTGACCTGAGCCCCAGTGGGTCCTGCACAGCCAGGCGGCTCTGCAGTCAGGGTGGGCTGCACCCAGCACTCAGGGACCACTTTGCATGGCCACGCCCGAGGTCCCCAGCATCTCCAGCAGCTGCACTGTCATCCTATCTCTGCTATTGTTGGGCGTAAAAGGAAGGTTTAAGTCTTAGTGAATGAAGTCTGCTCCCTCCTAACACTGCACGTCTAAGTGCTGCAGGTATCCCCTACATCCCAAGTCCCTCCTCCACCACCGTGCAGCCTGTGCCTGCCCCCTCTGTGATGGCTCAGCAACCCCCTCACTTGTCCATCTCTCTGGTAGACAGGCCAGTTTGTAACTGAAGCTAAGAGAGTAGCATACCTTTCGATCATCACACCTAAAATATTATTTTGTTGTCTAATTTTCAGCCAAATGTGAAAACAGTACATACTGCACCTGTTTAAAAAAAATGTTGATTTTTGCTTTCACTGCCACATTTCTATCCAGAAACAAAAGAAAAGTGCTGCTATGAGAATGTTTTTTGAAGATACTCATTGATGCTGCTTTTTGCTCAGTTTGGAGTCTGTGAGAGGCCCCTCGGAGAGAAGAGGGGAACATGGAGACTTGGGCATCTCCCAGGCCGCTTTGAAACAGCCTGGGGGTGGACACAGAGAGCCTCCTCGGACCTTAGGGAGTGTCTGCAGCTGCTGGGAGGCACCCACAGGCCCTGCAGTGCCCACTAGGTTCACACAGGAATCCAGAAAAGACACATGTGTACGCATGTGTATATGTAGAAAATGCACTCAAGTTGGGCTCACCCAGACACCCAGAGCACACGTACCTACACACAGACCCAGTCCCTCAGCTCGAATCCCTGGGAGTGTAGTACTCTTCACATGTTTCTACGGGGTAGGCCAGCAGGAGCCACAGGCTAGGTTCTCCACATGTAGCCCTGGAGAGCCCTGAGGAGGGAGAGGAAAACAAATCTGCCCACCCAGAGAGTGCTGCTCAGGAGTGCCCCAGCCTGCCCAGGCTGTGCGGCACCCACATGTCCTGAAAAGGAGCACCACCCAGCACCCACAGCTTGCATGGGACACACCCCTGGAAGCAGGGCTTCACCCTTTCTGGTCTGTGAGCTCTAGGCTTCACTCCTTCCCTGTCAGTCACCTGGGGAGCTGTAAACCCCAGCCCCTCAGGGCATGAAGGCATGTGTGGGACCCAGATACTTTCCCCTTAGAGAATTATTCCTCTCCCTTTTCTCTCGTACCTGTAATTAAATCAGTAGAGACTGTGGTCTGTCTTTGGAAACTGAGAATAAGTAACCCTCCAGATTCAGAGGCTGTTTCACCTTAGCCTTCTGTCTGCTGCATTCTGAGTCTGGATGGGCTCAGGGTGCCCACACACTGTGCAGTGCTGGGTTTCTGTCACCCTAATGAAGCCTCGCACAGTGTATGACAACAGCCACATACGCCCCACAGGTTAGGAGGTTGGGAATCCAAGGTCAATGTTACAGGGCTGGCCTTCCTCCCGAGGCTTCTGCCAAACTGAATTGATGATTGGAGCCCAAAGCACAGAAATGTACCTGTTTTCCTACACACCAAGAACTCACTCCTACAGCCCTTCTCTACATCTGGGCACTTACCACACCCTCCCACTGCACACCCCAGTGCATCACTCCACCCTGCCCAGCTCCCCCACCCCACGTGCACCGACTTCTAGGCCCCCCCTTTCACCTAGGGGCACAAATTGCAGTTCCTTGACTGGCACACCCAAGGTGATATGACCTCACCTTGCGGTGCTCCCACTGCCAAGTCTCTGCCTTCCTGTCTCCCTGCCCCTCACCCAGCTCACTGCCTTCATTTTGGGCCATGGGGAAGGATGTGAGAGGAGTGGACCTTACGATGCTCCTGCTGGACTAGAGGAAGGGGTTTAGCAGGAAAGTTGGGATCTCTTGCATCCCAATGGACATGCCCTGGCGGCTCTCTGCGGGTGGGTCACACCTGCAGACCAGCAGCAGACCCTCTGGAGCCTGGTGGAGGCTACAGTGAGCTGTTGGCAGGAGCACACGGTGTCTTCGGTCCTGCTTCCCTCTGCTGCATCGGAGCTCGTGCTCGACACTGATGTTGGCGGCGCTCTCCACGCCCATATTCCCGCCCCAGAACCTATCTGCCTTATCCCGTCAGTAATGGGGGTGGCTGGTGTCAGTTTGTTGTTGCCCTGCATGTGTCTGCAGTTCTTAAGACAGTGCTCTGGGTTATTCATCATGTGGAGGCGAACACAGTGCAAGTCCTGCCTCTAACGCAGTCGTGAGACCCATACTGAGCCGAACCAAACCGAAACAGCTCCAGTGTTTCATCAGAAAGGGCTGACTCTTGTTCGCTTAGGGCAGGGGTCAGCAGGCCTCCTCTGAGAGTACAGGTGGTAACCCCTTCATCTTCTGAACTGTGTGGGGTCTGTCACAACACCTCGGATCTGCCGCCTGCAGGAGGGCAGCCTGAACTCGGGAGCAGGGGGTGTGCTGCGCTCCAATAAAACTGCCTGTGAAACTAGAATTTCATGTGTCACAAATGTTATTCTTGTTTTGATTTTCTTCTTTCAACCAGTGAAAATTCAAATGGGCTCTCAGTGTCCAGGCGGCTCTACTGTGCTGTGGTTGCCATTTGCTTACCTGCCTAGGCTTGTGACCTCCCCAGGCTGCAGCTGCACTTGTTCAGCACTGTCTGTCCCGGAGTGTGACTCACTGCCCTTGGCCCCAAACTGGAATGGCCTGAGCCCTCCACATGACTCCGCTGCCAGTGCCAAAGCCAGCCCAGGGTCGCAGCCAAGGGCCTCTTTCCCTGGCTGTACTCCTCTGTCTGGGGCCCTTTAACAGTGGGGCTGGGAAGAGGGGTGTGGTGGGAGCAGAGGACAGCCAGACAGCCCGACAACCCATGCCAATTTTCACAGTGATTTTCTCTGGATGCCCCAAGTCAGCACAAAGAAATTTTAGGAGAGAGGAAAAAATAAAAATCCATCAGCCCTTGAGACATTTTCAAACACCACGAAACAGCCAACTTTATGCAGTCTGTCAGGGTGGGGCTTTGGTTTGGTTTGGGGTCAAATGAAGTGCCTGTCTAGAGATAGCTGTCCTGCTGAGGCGGAACCTTGTGAGACCACATGACAGAGTGGGGTGCCCCTCTGAGGCCCATTGGCCTCCCCTGGGAGGAGCCCCTCCACTTACTGCCGCCAGTTTGTTAGCTGTGGGTTTGAATAAAACTTGAAAGACACACAAATTGTCATCAGTTTTCACATTTGCAACTGATCTCCACATGCACATCCAGCTTTGGCACTGGCTGGAACCTGGAACAGCAGTGGGCTTGCTGGGGTGGCAGTTTTCCTGGTTCCCTTTGAAAGTGAGAGGCCACAGGGCTAGTCCTGCAGCCTGTCTGAGGGTGGGGGCATTCCTGCTTTCCAGAGGGCCATTAGGCCCTGCCCTTCCTCTGCATCCTCAGAGAGACAGGGCAGGCGACCATACGCAGACATTAGGAGCTGCTCAAGCTAGAGAGCCACACAGGCCACATGCAGTATCCATAGTGAAGGTTGCTGGGCCTGGATGGGGACACTGACTGCATATCCAGGCTCCCTTGGAGGTGGACGCGCATCCTGAAGCTGTAGCCACTATCCCATGGCACTCAGCTGCTGTCCTAGGGTACCTGAGCCACAGAACCCTCCAGCACGTTCTGTCATGGGTCTGAAGCAGCACCCACTCCTCAGGGCTCTTGGATTTTACTCACCATCTCTTATCTCCACCTCTGCTTCTTCCTCTCATCCTGGAGATGGAGTCTGAGCTGAGGGACAAGCTGCTCAGTTCCCCCCAACAATCCCTTCTGCTCAAGCAGGCTGGAGCAATAGATCAGGGGCACACTTCCTAGATGAGTGCAGGGCCAGTGTCTGTCACATGTCTGCAGAAATCCCGGTGGCCAGCATGTGTGCAGACAGCTCTTGAGTTGCTGTGCTGGAGTCCCTTCTTCTGTACTCTCTGGCTGCCCCACTGACCAAGGCAGTCATCCTTGGGGAAGGGGAAGTAGCCACTGGGTGGGCTTCCACACCATGGGGTGAAGACAAGCAAAGAAAGCACAGCCGCATGAGGTCCCTGGGGTGCAGCAGCCTGGGCCTTGGGCTGCACCTTCCAATGGAAGTGAAAGTCATACTCTGGAGGGAAGTTCGGTTCTGCATGTGGTACAAGGGCAGAGATTCCTGCTGGGGAGGGAAGAGTAAGAGAGAGGATGAATGTCCTCTGGCCTGCTACAGGTCAGAGGACAAGTACAGGCCTCGTTTCAAATGCCCAGCTAGTACTGCCTCTGAAAATCAGATGCTCATGTCTGCTTCCATGCACAGAGGGTCCCTGCAGAGAACTCTGTTCATGCCTCTTCCAGCTGAGGGGATGGACGCACCCAGGGTCCACACTTGAATCTGGCAGTGGCGGTCCTCCATCTACACATTAGGTCCCGACTGTTCAGGAAAGCAAGCCTGCAGGGAGGGCAGTGTGGCCAGAAGAAAAAGGGTCCCATGCTGTGAGATGTGCCCGAACAGGCCGGTGCTGCTCAGGGTGCACATGGCAGAGCCCAAGTGCACGGGTGCCGACCCACCCATTCATGAGCCCTCTCAGAGTACACTGGTTCCTACCTGGGTCAGGAGCTTCCTGCTGAGCACACTGCCTTACTTCCCAGGGCTCTTGTCCTATGGGGCACATGGCTCTGAAAAGGTGGGAGTTCTGAGTGGAGGTAGGGAGATCGATATGGCCTAAGGCACAGGTGTCCTGATTTCTCCAGCACAGACCAAAGTCTGAGAATTACCTGAACCAGCAGCCCCATCACTCATACTGCTGGAGTGTGCCGGGCATGAGGGAAGTCACCATGTCCTATCCTGTGAGACATGTCTGCCTTCCTGGCCTCTCAGACTAGCCCGAGGCAACTGAGCACCCTCAGCCTGCTCCACTGTGCCGTGTCACACTGCCCAACATGGGGACATTGCCATAAGTGGGGTCTCCTCATCCCCCATCCTTCTCTATTGACTTCAGATTCCTTTAGTTCCATATAATTCTTAATGATCTGTTCATCTCAGGAACCTTAAACTTAGTGCATCTGCAGAGACACCTTTTCCAAGTAAGTTCACAATTACAGGTTCCTAGAATTAAGACTCAGACATATATTTCCGGGCAACACTTCCACCTATCATAGTCTGCCCTCTATTCCTATCAAATTCACATCCATCGCACATCAGATCTTTGTCCAGAAACCTCATTTGATCATACTGCTAGTCTCTAACTCCAGTGCAGGTGATGGCATAGCCCCTCCCAGGGCAGCCAACTCTCCACCTCAGGCTGTGGGACCAGAAGACAAATGAGCTACTGCCACAGGGAAAGGGTGGATGTGTCACCTCAGAGAGAAATGACATGGACTAAAATCCTAGTTCCTGTTTCGCTCTGGCATGGGAGGAGCTGGAAACTGGCCCTGCATCCTCACAATCATCCAAACCTGAACAAACTGAAATTCAACAACTCCTCTTTGGTCCTTCAGAGAAATTAGGCCATAGGGCAAACCCCCCAAACTGGGGAGACAGGTGAACCCAGAGAACCACAACTTACCAGAGCAGAAACACATGACCAAAAAGCCCTGGGTGGAGAACCGGTGCTGGGCAGGAAAGCCTGAGCTATAACTCACAAATGCTGGAGGCTCAGTGTGGACAAGACAGAGTTCAACACCCCAGGAACCCCACACTTCCATGAACTTTTTCCTCCAGGAGCCACACCAGGTCCCCCCACTGAAGGTGGGAGAAAATCCCCTCCTGCTTGAGGTGGGGTGCTGGGGGAAGTAGCCGTTGTGAATACCAGAACATCGGTTGTTCCAGAAGGCCTGCCCTCAGGAGAAATCCTCACCCCAGAGCCTGGCCCACCAGGGGAGGGAAATGCCCACCTTGGTCCCTTTGTCTTCCTGGTCCCAACCAAGGGGGGCTGAGGAGCATGTGTGGAGGTCACAGCCCAGGATACAGGCCCACTAATTCTGAGACTTAGTCATTGGATTGTAAAATGCTTCCCTGACCCCACAGCTCACTGACACTTCACTCAAGTTCCTTTTATGCAGTACATGTCTGGCTATCAAAAAATTACAAGCATACCAAATGGCAACAAATGCAGTTTGAAGAGACAGCAAGCATCAGAACCAGACATGCAGAGATGTTGGAACTGTCAGACCAGAACTTAAAACAACTGTGATGAACATGCTAAGGACTCTAATGGGTAAAGTAGACAGCATGCAAACATACATGGGCCATGTAAACACAGATGGAAATTCTTAGGAATCAGAAATAAGTGCTAGAGATAAAAACATCGTAACAAACAGAGTGCTTTTGATGGGCTCATTCATTCGGTTGGACACAGCTGAGAGAACAGTCAGTGAGCCAGAAAACATGTCAAGAGAAACTTCCAGAATGGACAAACAAAGAGAACTGAGACAAAAAAAATCACAAGCAAACCCTGCACAGAATGTCCAAGGACTGCAGGCAGTTATGAAAGATGACACATATGTGTGATGGGAAGACAGGCAGAGAAGCAAAGACAGAATCCACCAGAACTGTTTGGAGCAATAATGACTCGGAATTTCCCCTAAATTAATGTAAGTCACCAGGCCACAGATCCAGGAAGCTCAGAGTACACCAAGCAGAATAAATGCCAAAACAAAAGCAAACAAAAACCACACCTAGGTGCATTGCATTCAAACTTAAGAAAATTGAAGATAAAAAATCTTGAAAGAAGCCATGGGGAAAAAATCACCTTGCCAATAGACAAGTAGAACCCATAAACATTAAAATGATAGATTATGAAAAACTCTATGTCCACAAGTTTAATAACCTAGATGAAATAATTTGATTCCTTGAAGTATACAATCTGCTAAAACACACATAGACAATCTGAATAGGCCTATAAATAAGTTGACTGAATAATTTCCCCACACAGCACCAGGCCTAGGTGGGTTCACTGGTGAATTTTGCCAACATGTAGAGACTAATTAATTACAATCTCTTGTACATTAATTCTTTACAATCTCTTCCAGAAGATAGAAGGAGAGAGACTACGTCCTGACTCATTCTGTGAGGCCAGCAAAACCAGACAAAGACATTGCAAGAAAAGAAAGCTACAGATCTATATCATGACCATAAATGCAGAAATCCTCTACAAAATATTAGCGAATCAACAATGCACAAAATAATTACACACAATGACCAAGTGGGATTTATTTCAGGTGTGCAAGGCTAGTACAGCATTCAAAAATCAATCAATATAACCCATCACATGCACAAACTAAGAAGATAAATCACATGATCACATCAATCTATGTAGAAAAAACATTTGACAAAACTAAACACCTATTCATGATAAAAACTCCCAGCAAACTAGGAGCAGAGGGAACTTCCTCAACTTCATCAAGGACATCTACAAAAAATGTACATCTAATATACTTAACTGTGAGAAAATGGAAACTCCCCCACTAAGATCAGGAATGAAGCAGGATGTTCCTTCTCACTATCCC